ATCTCGCTGATGCACCCCCTAATACCTGCAGAGCGGCCTGGATGTCATCCACATCTACACTCTGGTCAATTGGGCCAATCTTCCCATACCGGGCCCGAGACTCCTCCTCCTGCGACAATACCTGTCGGCACCTGACAGGCCAGTCCCCCAACTTAATAATGTCGGATACACAGATGTGTGATAGAGCCTCCTTTCTGATATGTAGCTTCAGTGCTGCACCCCTACCCCAGGGTACGTATAGTCTCAGGCAGGCAATGTGGCCACAATACGGAAGCCTCGATTGCTGCACCTAAGGTACGAGGATTTGCAAAGACGCACTGACCTGATTCTGACTGGATTAGGACTACCGCAAACGAGAAACGGGGTACCACAAGACTAAGGTCTTCTGAAGGGGAAGACATCCTCTTAACATCTCGCTCTGGGGCAGCATCAGCCGACTCATTTTCCAGCAGACGTTTTCCTCTCTGGGACTTGCTGTCAACATCCATGGCGCCCCCGCTCGGGGAGGCGTCCATTAGGGAGGCTCCGGCCTCCCCCGGTCCTGTGAGCCCCTGGATAGCTGCAGTGAGCACACACTGGCCCAAAGAAGCCAGCTGAATTCAAAGATGAGTTCCAGGTAAGGTGTGGAAAGAAAGTCCAGCCAGGAGCGTTCAATCCGCGTGCCAAGATGGCCGACCTTCGGGCCCGGCCGGATTCCGGCTTTATAGCTAGTGCCTTTTGACAGGTCAAGAAGAGAAAGCAAGACTTGGTATATCAGTTACCAGGGTGATGGAAGCTAGCCTCATACGAGGATAATTTGGTGTCTACATCCTAGTTATACCTGGTGGACTAAGCCTGCTGTACAATAAAATAAGGCACCTCCAATTTATTTACTAATATATGTAGTTAATATTGTAGTTTGATTGGCTGCATATATAAATTTAATATAACCCCCCCCCCTAATGTGTAAGGATCGATTTGTGAGATTATTGCAGAAATACAGTCCACTTATCATACCAATTGCTATCGAAAGATATAAATTAACGTAAATATAAATTCTATATAAATTAAATAAATATAAATCTCACAGGTCGGTTCCCACAACCCTCGATTGACCACAACCCTCGACCTTCCTCCTCCGGACCCTCCTCGTCCGCCCCTGGTCGGTCCTCTAGCTACCTTCCCTCCTTTACTTAGTTTACCCATGCCCTCTAACCCTGACTTCGCTGACCCTAGCTGATCCTGCACTTCTTTAACGTGCTGTGTTCCCTTTTCGAATTTGTTTCTTCGCTGTTCTCTGTTGCTGTCCTTCCTTTTCTCGTCGATGTCTATTCTTCAATGGAACGTTCGTGGTTATTACACCAATTTCCTGGAACTCCAGCGTCTGATTTCGCCCCTTTGTGTCTGTCTCAGCAGGAGCCGATGCTTGGTGCTCATCCTGGTCGCTTTCGTGGCTATTCCTCCCCCCCCCCAGCTGTTGCTGGGACTCCTAACTCTTCTGCTCTCTTGATTCGCTCTGATGTTCCCTTTGTCCCCTTACTTTTTCCTTCGCCTCCATTGTTCTGCTGCTCGTATGTGTGAGGAAATGGTACACCGTTTGTTCCATTTATCCCCCCCCCCCCCCCGAGTGTTCCTCTTTCTCTTCCCGATCTGAAACGCCTACTGGACTCCTTGCCGGGGACTGTGTTCATGCTAGGTGATTTTAATTGTCTTCTTTCCCTTTGGGGTAATGTTCTGACGAACACCCGGGGTCGCCTTCTTGAGCCGAGAAGGTGGTGGAATAACCTTTTGGTGGTTTAGAAGAAATAATGGCATGGCAGTTATCGCAGAGCAGGCTAGTTTCCTGCTAGTTCTGACTCTCAGTTTAATGGGAGGGGTAATGATACGATACCTAAAGCCCATCTTAATATCTCCCTGTCTGCCCTAAAAGTCATACACGATCTTAACAGAATCTTAACACCGCCAGGAACATATAGTGTTCATTTGGTTGTATTTATGTAGGCAGGAAGTGAGATAATCAATTATTCTTGTTTAACTAGAATATTCTAGAATCCAATATGGCACCCGATTCAGCAGTGATGTCAGTCAAGCGAAGATGCTTTCTTGGTGACGTGACGCAGAGTAGCCAATGGGAATGAAGTGACATGGCATGTCACTTCATCGAGTGGCCACTGTGAGTGGCCAGGTCAGGCTACTAACATCTGACACGTCATTGTGAATTCTCGTTATGTGCTTGGGATCCGCCCTCACCTCTGCTCACACATCCAAGTGTTGTGTACACAGGACCATCTTTTAATGCTTCTTATTTCCCGAGTAAAACTCTAGGGAATTGTGTATTCACTGTTCACTATGTCCTTAAAAGAGGGCATCAATTCCATATATGCCAAAAATATACAATAAATGAAAACTAGTTCGATTTCAATCAAACTTTTTGACGAGTTGTATATGAAAAGGGTTTCATCTGGTCCAAGTCTCAGCATCGTAGCATAAATAGGAAGGGAGAAAAAATATTGAATTATGTGTCAAAAATTTTCCAATGGTAAAAAATTAACATCAAACACAAGTGTCAACATGACTCTCAGCTATCACAATAGCATATATTTAAAAAAATTAATGATTAGTGGACAGTCTGGGGCAATAATGCTCCAGTGGAATGAAGAACACTAGTTGCCAGGAAGAGATTTCTCCCAGAGGCTAAGGCTCTTGGCTAAGGCTAAGACCCCAACAATCTTGGGCACCCTCCTGATTCTATGGGGCACACCCCCCGGCCTGTCGGGGGTGCTCTGTATATAACTTGTCGTGTGAGTACTCACTCGACAAGTTAGCGTACTCTTAGGCAGGCCAGGTAAATCTACCTGCAGGCTTGGGGGAACAATACTGACATGCTGAGATGCATTACTTTCCTGCTTGGTTAGAATAAGTTAACTGGGATACCTCCAGATGGCTGAGGCCCCTTGCTGCACTCACCTTATTTAAAAAGTGGAAAACCATAAATCCTTGAAAAAGAACCACAATATGGAGTACCTATTATGCCCCAAATGCCTCCCCCAGATATCATTAACAAAACCTACATACCCAGGGCAAGCCCAGGTGAAGTTGGAGCTAACAAGCTAATACCCTATCCATCCACTTGCATCTGTCAAAAATCCACATTCCAGGAAAGGGCCAACAAAAACAAAGGTGCAGTCAGTGCCACAAACTCAGGTATCTTTAACACACCTGAGGCTTTTGCAACATGAAAACCAGGAGGGCCCAGAGCAGAACCCTGATTTTTATCTGACGCCCATGAAAACAGAGAGATATCCTCCCAGGGGAAGACTTCAAGCCATAAGGAAATACCAGCTCCATCAGATTGAAGGAAGGCAGTTAAGGCTTGGCAGAATTTAGATTCAACCATCTACACCACAAACTCGGACAAGGCACCCCTTTCCAGGGAAACAGTTGGGAGCTGTTTCTTTGATGGTTCAGGCTTCTCCACTATTCTTCCCATGAGATCTTTCATGGTTGAGAGTCCTGCCATCTGTCTGGTGTGCATCTGGTCAATCTTTTCCTACCATGTCTGTGGCTGTCATCTTTGCTCTGACCTGTGGTGGTTTGTATGGTTTTTGCCTTTATCTTTTCCTTTCCATCTATCATTAGGTTCTAGTGGCCACGTCCTTCCATCTTGGCTTTGGTTGACCATTCGGCTGATGCCTGCTGTAGTAGCCTCTTTTCATTGAGATTGGTTGAACCTCCCATTTTGGCTTTTGGTGTGGACGCTTCATCTGTACTGCTTTCGTGCCCCTGGCTGGTTTTATTCTTCCTAATCCTTCTTAGCCTCATTTCTGTTCCCCTTTCAGTCCTCGGGATCTTTTTTCAGGCAGTTTGCTCAGGAAGACACAGAGGGGAAGCCCATCCAGAAATCAAGTGTTGAATATAAAGAAATTCCTCCTCCTGGTAGGTCCCACTGTATCTATCCGTTCCCTCACATCCATTCTTTGTGTAGTGTTCAGATATTGTTGTTTGGGCAGTGCAAGAATGATTGTGCTAGCTACCTGGGACCATCTGTTTGCCATCTGGTGGCAAGAGAGTGGTGTTAACTAGCATTTGGACATAGACGATGAGTGTGTACATAGTTTTAATAAGGGTTGCAAATGTTCAAATAGTTGCTGGATTTTGTGTACTACCTTTCTGGTGGTTTTATCTTCAGTTATGTGGGTGATCTTGTACCCATTTACCCTATGGCTCTATTTAGGGGGCCAGATTGTAGTCATGGTCTCCAGTAGGTGCTCATGATTCATTGCAAGCCTGGTGTGGTACCAGATGCTTACCTATCAGTGACTATGGGGGAGTGTGATCTAGCTCTTTATACCTAGTTTGCTAATTACCTTTTTCAACAGCAACATTTCTATCACAGTTTTTCTTAAAGTTGTTGGTGAAATTAGTTTCAACAACCTCTTCTTTCAATGTGTTCTGCTTGCCGAGCACCCATACAGGTAATGAAAACTTCCTTACATCTCTGATTTGGTTGCATGTCCAGCTATTACTGATCTCCCCTCATCCTACCTCTTTTTAATTTAAATTGGTTTCCTTTGTCCACTTTGTCTTTTCCAATCAGGATCATGTATGTAGTGATCATATCTCTATTTTTCTCTCCTCTAAGGTTGCGAGGCCCAGTTCCCTCAATTTGTCCTCACAAGCTGAACCCTTTCAATTCTGGTACTAATCTATTTGCAAACCTCTGGACTTTCTCATGTTTCTTTTTGTGCTTTACATTGATAATGGTCTCACATAGGAAATGTGTATGGACTTGAAAGTCTCCTTGTTTACACTCTAAATTTATGTTCTTATGTTTGCTAACTTACTATATGCTGCTGATGTTGGTGTGTTTACATGAGCTTTTGGGTAGCTAAAGGAGATACAGATGGGAGTCACCCTGAAAGAGAAGTTTCATTACCATCGATGCTAGATTTTCCTCTACAATTTACTACATTCTGTTATCTTATATACTTTAAGGGATGTGGGAAGATATAGTCCTGGAATGAGAATATTTAATAGTTTATTTGAAAGCCGTAATACCATGAGTTTGAAGCTGTGTTGCGGAAGTGAAATATAGGAGACAACTGTCGCTTCTTCAAATACACAATATCAAAATAAACCTAGGCCTACTTTACACACACCAGTAAATAAAAATAAACCTAGGCCTACTCTACACACCAGTAAATAAAAATAAACCTAGGCCTATTCTACACACCAGTATATCAAAATAAGCTTAGGCCTACTCTACACTCCAGCACTTACTGCTTTTTCCTGACAAGATTAACTCAAGTGGAATCTAATAAAATGCATTGTATTACAAAAATTGACAAATCTTTACTTCTTCCATTACAATAATACTTTCCTTTATAATATGTTTAATCATTCACCAAAATTCAGACCTAAGCAGTTGCATAATGTAGCACAGATTAACATTGTCACTGTAATGTACTTAAAAAAAACTTTCTATACGTACATTTTAATATGTTTCTTGAAGCATGTGAAGGCACAGTCATTGAGCGTTGCTGCTGATGAAGCACTCAAACTCAGCTTAAATGAACTTTATGATGTAAGCAATCATTATGTCACCTACCAGCTAAAACTGCATCATGCATTCGCCTCTCACTCTTTCTACGGCATGTAAGCCCCCACATTCCAAGTAGTGCACATTCAAAGCCTTTTCACATCACTCAGTCCCAAACGTTTCTATATAAACTAAACTGTTTGGAATAAATAATTTGTATGTAATGTGGATGTATTAATTTAAAGGCATAAATAATAGATATGTTAAACATGATTTGGTAGTCTATACCTTTGGTGTTGCAGTGAGTCAAAGCATGCACAAGCTCCAGTAGATTGATTGAAAATTAATCTCTTATCCTGTACATACATTGTTCACAAGGAATAATCACTTATTCAGCTCATTCATGTTTCCAATGTATGTTACATGCACACTCGCTCATCTTTCCAATGTATGCTATTCCTACGCTCACTCATCTTTCCAATGTATGCTATTCCTATGCTCACTCATCTTTCCAATGATGCTATATCAGTACCAATGGTCACTCATTTAATAAATACACCAAGGGGCCTTTTTACTCACAATTTCTACAGATAGTATTTACATTACAAGTACAGTAAATCCAATGTGTATGCCATTCATGCACTTTTTACTCTTCTTATACTTGTAATAAGAAAATTGTACTTGTCAACACTTGTAATAAGAAAATTAAATGTACACCTATGACTGATAAACTTACAATGCTAGATTTTAACTATCAACAACAGCATTCAAGTGCATTTATCAAATTGCCTTGATTTTTGCATCGCTGCATATTAAACAAATTATATTATGAGCTCATTACAAAAACCTGCTTCTTATTCCCAAGGTATACATTTAGTGATACATGTACAGTATGATAATCTTTGAAAATTCCAGCTTTAAATACTTGACCACAATTCACATAAATCATGAGTTTAAAATACAGTACTGTATAAATATTATCTTTCATGATGCATCTTGCAAACATTTGTGCAATGCTTGCCAATACCAGTTGTAAGCCAAGTTAGCTAAGCTTGAGCTGTGTGTTGTATTTCATTAGGTAAAGTTATAAAGTGCAAAAGTTGCAAGAAAGGCATGTCAGATGTGCTGACAAGGCATAATTGAGGTAGACTTGCCAGGTAAGGAACACAAGACTGGAAGGAATCGACCTCAAAATGCCAAGTACGCACAGAGCTCGTAGAGCCCAATCATAACGACCCAAAGTGAGTCTGAAGGAATCAATGGATATGTTAAATCCTTGAAACACTGTAAGAGCATATTGTCTATACAACACTCATACTAACATCAGATACAAAACAGCATTTAAAACGCACATCAAAATCTTCATTGTACACATTAAAAGCTCCCATTTAACTAAATTACATTTAATTAATGAATAAGTATATTTTCAAATCCAAATCACTATATTTTAAGAAAAATAATTCAACAAAACCTTGAACTAAATTAGATTGCAATGCCAATCAAAATATAATGTAAAGTGTTCACTAGTTAAACAGTGAATGCAGATTTTTACAGCTGTTAGGAAACTGCACCCTAATCTAACTCTAACCAGAGTCCAGTGCAGGGACATCACTTCTCACCCAGACTATGCAAACATTTCCACGAGCCTATCAAGGATTATCTTATTACATGCTTGAAGTGTTACGAGACAATCACAGTACTGTGTAAAGCAATTATCAATAATGGAAGCTCAGGTGCTTCAAACAAGTAATCTCTATAAAAAATGTTTTGCTACACTGACCTTACATTGTATAACCTATTAAACAGAGAATATATTTGATAATGTAATGAACAAATAAGCTTAGTTATCACTAGTTATTGTCTGTGGCTGATCTGACAATCATCACCTATATTATACCATAGTATAATATTGTGTATGGTGCACCATACACAATGTCAGTTTTTTAATCACAAGTTCCCCACAAGAAAGAACTTAAGATTAAGGAACGATAAATGTTTTTTAGAAATGAAGAAGTTTATAACGTGTATGATGCACCTACATGAGGAGCAAAGGAGTAAAGCAATATGCCATACACACTATTTCATATCAAGACGCTGCCATAAAACTTGACAGCATCACCACATAGGTACATATTGCTGTTGCAACACAAAACAACTGAGCTGGCTTCCAAGATCATGATAAAGTCCTATACTCACATTTACCATTTCTATTTTACTTTTGCATTAATAACTAATTAAATATATCTTACTAAGTAGAGTATTGTGAGAATGAGCTCTCATTAGCAGAGACAAAATAAATACAAGTAGTGGAAGAGTAGAGACTATCAAGAGTAGACATAAGGCCCACCACCTCACTGCTCTAGCCCATAACACACAGTGGTACAGTATGTAAAACCTAAGATTAAACAGCAGTCGTTCTAAACTCCTGGTATGGAATATACGAGTATCATCTTAATGACATAATATGATATTCCACCACCAGCACAACACAATACCTATCCAGGATCATGCTTAATGGCCTCCACTGAGTTCATTCATAAATATAGTTACTTTGATTTCATAGCATTCTGAAAAACACATTAGCCCTTAAAGCAGTTAGAGCATCCATTATCTTGAGCACAACCATCTGTCTGGCAGGATCACTCATCACTTTTCAATGATTTTGTATTGACTATCTTATTTATTTAAATCAAATAAGTCTACATTAGTCTGATGAGGAAAATGCTAGCTCAGAAAATGGGCAATATGAGTAACCAGCTTTGGTATACACAAAATATCCCTTCCATGATTATGGACTCTCATAAAGTCATTAAGAACTCAAGTTTCATTTCTGAGTACCAATATGGAACACACCAGCACCTAGAAGACACATACTTTAGTTCTGCTATGACACCAGTAGCACCAAAACCTCTGGAGGAGTAATCTTATAAATCTGGAACCTATACACTTTGTTTGGCTGGTGATCACAATATATATAAATCCTTATCAAGTTGTTAATATTCAACCAAAATAGCATTCTTATGTTCCTGATTATGTATGTGAGAGGAGGCCACTTATAAATTAAACGTTTATGAGCAAGGCCCCTCCCCCTCAATTGCTCTGTATATAGCAAAAGAGCAGAACCATAGTAGTCATCTACCAATAACAGATAAATGGCATCATAAGAAAAGCCATTCAACTCTGATAACTACTGTATCAGCTAACTAATTACAATCCCAACTGCTACAAAATGGCAGCAGCAGCACTATAACAACAGCCAGAGACACATACAGCCCTAACTTATAGTCTGTCATCCATCCTTACCACTACAACCAGTTCTGCAGAAGCCTATTCAATTAAGTTGTCTACCTGTTTCTCAAGACCTTTTGAAGAGCATCGCCTCATGCCTAACATGATTTTGTCTTATTGGTTGATTCTGGCAGAGCCATTGATGTTGGACTTTGGTGTGGATCTCTCTCATCCTTTTTTTAAAGTGGCTTGTATCTTATTTCATCTTTAACCTTTAATTGTCCTGATGAAGCTAACCTGTGCTTTGGATTGGGTCCTTCAATTTCAGTAAAGTTTCATATTTAGTCTTCCTTCGAGGATCTGTCACTGAAGGTTTTAGTATGTTGACTTACTATGGATCATTATGGCAATGGCATTGTTTCTTTTCTTCAGTTCCACCAGAGGGCTAAATGACCATCTTTGTGATGCTATTTATCTCACACAGTGAAAGTCGATTGCCATGGTTCTGCTCCTTTGTATTATAGCAAGCGGTTCCTTGGTTGTGTATGAAACTATCTCCCCTGTCTGCCTTCTATACCGAGGTAACAAGACCATAAATGTTTGTGGTCACCATGGGCTACAGGTCGGTGAGAGCCTGGCGGGTATGCAATGTCCTCGCTGGATTGTGACATGGGAAGACACCGAGGGACTATTCACAAATAAGCATTTCATAATTTTCCAATTTAACAGTGCATAGCCTGGGTTGTGTAAAGCATCAACAAACTGATTAAGATCTGTTAATTTTCATACAATAAAATTTCATCACTATTTCATTTATTAGAGAAATATATTTGCAAAAACTGGTATTTTTTTTACTGAAGACAAGTAACTGCTGTATGTCCAAAATGTCATCACTCTTGTAAATACCAAGCAGTGTCCATACTTGAATATTGTACTGTAAAGTGGCTATCCCTGTATTTACCATATTTTGTGAATATCCCCTAAATATACCATGCTAAGTGACCACCTCTGTATACACCATGGTAACTTGTCACCCCTATACACAGTATACTAAACAAAGTGACCTCTATTGTATATACTAAACTACATTAAACAAAAAGTGCTGTATTTACTACCCTAAGAGACTAAAACTGTATATACCATGCTAAGGAATCATTCTTGTATATATAATGCAAAGAGATCACTTCTGCATACACTTTGTTAAGAGAGCATTCCTGTATAGCCTAGTTGCTAAGGAATCAATTGCATATACCATGCTAGGGGACCTTTCCAGTATACACCATGCTAAGAGACCTTTCCAGTATATACCATGCTAAGAAATCTTTCCAGTATATACCAAGCTAAGAGATCCCTTTTGTATATACCATGTCAAGGGACCTTTGTAGTATATACCATGCTAAGAGGTTACTTTTGTAAATGCCATTATAAGAGACCTTTCCAGTATATATGATGCTAAGAGACCTTTCCAGTATATACCATGCTAAGAGACCTTTCCAGTATATACCATGCTAAGAGACCTTTCCCGTATACAGTATACCATGCTATTAAAAGACCTTTCCAGTATATACCATGCTATTAAGAGACCTTTCCAGTATATACTATGCTATTAAGAGACCTTTCCAGTATATTCCATGCTATTAAAAGACCTTTCCAGTATATACCATGCTATTAAGAGACCTTTCCAGTATATACCATGCTAAGAGACTTTTCCAGTATATACCAAGCCAAGAGATCCCTTTTGTATAGGCCATCCTAAGAGACCTTTCCAGTATATATCATGCCAAGAGACCTTTCCAGTATATACCAGGCTAAGAGGTCACTTTTGTACATACCATGCTAAGAGACCTTTCCAGATATATCATGCTAAGAGACCTTTCCAGTATATACCATGTTAAGAGACTTTTACCATTAGATACCATGCTAAGAGACCTTTCCAATATATACCATGCTAAGAGACCTTTCCAGTATATACCATGCAAAGTATATACCAAGCTAAGAGATCCCTTTTGTATATACCATGACAAGAAACTTTTCCAGTATATACCATGCGCTAAGCGGTCACTTTTGTATATACTGTACCATGCTAGGGGATTTTTTCAGTACTGTGCATGGTTTAAGGTTGTCAGGGACAGGAAGCCTGTACTTAAGAGTTGTCGAGGTTCCCAAAAAGACCAACTATTGACCTTTCCCAGGATACACAACCTACAATCATTACCCAACTTCTGTGTATCTATTTACTGCTAGATGAACTGGTTCATTAGGTGAAAGGAAACATGCCCAAAGGTTTATCCCTATGTATACCATGATGAGAGACCTTTCCTGTACATACATAGAGGAAAGGTCACTTATGCTATCATGATGAGAGATCTTTCTTGTATTTCCATGATAAGAAACCTTCCCTGTATATACCATGATGAGAGACCTTGCTTATATATACCATGGCCAGAGACCTTTCTTGTATATACCATGGCCAGAGACCTTTCCTCTATATACAATGGTAAGGGATGTTTTCTCTGTATACCTTAATTATGGGCCTTTCCTTTAGATACCATGATAAGGGACCTTTCCTGTATATGCCATAGCAAATGACCTTTCAAGTACATACCATGATAGGGAACCATTCCTGAATATACCATGATAAGGGACCATTCCTGTATATATCATGATAAGGGCCCTTTCCTGTACATACGATGATAAGGGACTGCTCCTATATATACTGTGATAAGAGACCATTAATATATATGTTATTTTAAAGGGACCTTTTCTGTATACACCATAGTAAAGAACCATTACTATACATACCATGAAAAGGACAGTTTCTGTATATACTGTGATAATGGACCTTTCCTGTATATTCTATGATAAAGGAGCTTTCCTATACACAATTATATAACTGAAATGAAAGATTTCCTTTATACTGTATACCATTATAAGGGAGAGTTCCTGTATACTGTATATCATGATCGGGGAGCTTTACTATGCAAACCATGATAAAGGACCTTTCCTATAAATACTGTACCATAATAAAGGACTTTTCCTGTATATAGCATGCTCAGGAACCATTCCTGTATATACCATGCTAAGGAACCATTCCTGTACATACCATGCTAAGGAACCATTCCTGTATAAACCATGCTAAGGAACCATTCCTGTATATACCATGCTAAGGAACCATTCCTATACTATGATGCTAAGGAACCATTCCTGTATTGTGTGCTACAGGATCATCCACATAACACGACCCACATACATCTAGGATTGGCTATACTTCCATGTATCAATAGAGCAATCATTGGTGTAAATATAACCACCATCTCTGAACTTAGCATATTTAGTGGTTACCGGTAAGCATAATACACTGTATAGCCACTGTTGTGTGTCTCACTGACTGCATCTGACCATCACGCAACCCACCACACAAGGACGTGCTGCCACAACACTAAACATGCACTAAACATGCCACCCTTAATGCCCCTCTCTGCTCATACTATGCTATGTGATCACCCCTATTCGTGACACCCTAGGTGGCCATCCCTGCTTGTGACACCCTAGGTGACCATCCCTGCTTGTGACACCCTAGGTGACCATCCCTGCTTGTGACACCCTAGGTGACCATCCCTGCTTGTGACACCCTAGGTGACCATCCCTGCTTGTGACACCCTAGGTGACCATCCCTGCTTGTGACACCCTAGGTGACCATCACTGATCATACCATCCTAGGTGAGCAGTTGTGTACACATCACACTAGCTGGTCACCTCAACATACCACTTGGGGATGACACTCGCTACACATCCACAAGAAACAGCCAGCTCATACTGCATATTCTCTAGTGCTTGACCAACATCATAAGTTAATAGTAATCATTGTGATGAATCGGTGCCTAATTCACCACATGGACTCTTTATTAGTGTATCAAGGACAGCAAACAATACAAATCATTCAATACATAACCTTCAGACTCCAAGATTATTTATCTTAATATGCATAATCTGCCATCTTTTATCATACTGTATAAAGTGGCTTCACTAAAATGCCTATTATAAAAGTAATGGTGAATTTTCTCCTTTATTGAAGAAACTCAATGACGACTCTAGGAAGTGAAATATCCCAGCCCTCATCTGGCAATAATCACAAAGTAAGCATTCATATATAAAATACATAAATAAGAAATCTTTTAGCATTATTTCATTTATTTCCAATGGAGGCAATGAGTAGATTAGTCAGTTGAAGAGTACTTACTCAAAGATATGTAATGAAGTTAAATGTGCTTACGCATGTAGCTCTGAAACACGACACCAGTACAATCTTACCAAAGGGGAGACACTTAACTATTGGGTAATTTTGCACTAAACCTGTAGCACCTGGTCCCATAAAATCTTATTACTTTGTATTATGTAATTTTTCAAAGTTCAAATTCAGGGTGATAAATTTAATAGCGTATTAAAAGTAAGGTGACCTGATCAGTAATAAATACAATAGCATTAAAAACATCAGTTGTATATAACATATTTTATGCTAATTACAATTCATTCAAACATTTCTGATTAAAATTTATATAATACAAAACAGATTCCTTACTCTAGTATTGACAAATAATTGTTTTCTGCATCATTTTGGGCCTCTTGGAGAAAACAGCTTGGCACTAGCAGGCTAACTGTCTCATGACTGAAAATGCTGCCAGGCTCTACCTAATAATAAACTTGTACTTGAATATAGCCCTCCAAGATAACATCCAATTCTGACAGACATTCTTTTAGCTGTTACTTGTTCAACTAAATGTGGTGTCTTAATATATATAACTCTCACCTCCCAGAAGATTCAGTTTGGTTCTGTGAGAAGTGTTCCTATTTGCATAGCTTCTTGTTACCCTAATTATTTTCTCATAGGCAGCAAGTCTTATTTGTGCCACGGAACCATACTAAATCTTTACTAATAAAAGTAATATGAATTAGCACTTTTCCAATATTCATTCATTTCAGTGATACAAGTCAATTCAGTACAAAGTGTTCTATCATATAAATTGACACTGAAATTAAGTGTTTGTTTCAGTTATAATTGAGAGGGTCTTGCTCACCATCACAAAGCCTGGATAATCAAAGCACATCTCACACACCAGATAACCAGGACAAAAACAGGATATTAAAGTAATATTCAGTTCACTGTTTGCCACACATACTGCAGATAGTATTATTTATGAGAATTGGTAGAAGCCTGCTTGGCCAGCTTGCGGGCCTGCACACGCCAGATGCAAGGGATAAAGAAGAGCATAAGGCCAGACACAGCAATCATGCTCCCGGCAAGCAGGAAACTGTAGTCGTACGAGTCAGTCATGTCGAAGAGAGAACCTGGAACCAAACATTGATTTAGAACATAGTTAGTGCTGAAATTTTATGCAGACGCTGTTTCCACAAAATATTTTTATACATTGATACCTCTGTGTTAATGTACATAGCTTTCTAAGCATGTATGAACTATGTATCACCTTCATATAATTCTATATATTCATGGTTGTATGTGTACTGACAACTTAAACTGGCCAGCATTTTGGAAAACCTGGGTTATATGATCTCCCCCTCTCACCCCTGGCACTTGTAGACTATATGATGTACTTCTTGCATCGCTACCTCTTCTTGTAGTCACTATACAGAACATCTCATAAAATAGCATATGGTGAATATTACTTTTGTAATATAAAGTTAGTGCTTTTCATAGATTTTAAGTTTTTTCTTTAAAGTTTTAACAAAACTTTAAAATTAAAGTTTAAATTTTTTTGTTAGTTTTATGTTTTATTCCAAGTGTTTTTCCCCCACATCTTGCCTGAAACACAGTGCATATAAGTGGCTTTAGGCATAGTATGTACTAGCTCTATCTAGAACTCCAACATTCTGTTTGTAACTCATCTTGAATGTATGTACATACTTATACCTAAATAAACATTTTATTTTATTTTATTTTATTTTATTTTATTTTATTTTATTTTATTTTATTTTATTTGCAAGGATATTAGACTACCTGGGTTTATCTGATATTAGTAACATGAAATCAAAATGATTATATTTTCACAACTTTCAATGTTTGTTGTAAACCTCAAACAAAAAGTTTAATTTGTTTCGCACATTCCTAAAAGGGTAAGCCTTGAACATCCATGCATTACATGTCTCTCTTTAGTATATTTATACAGTAGTTTATCAATACCAAATCAGCTTAAAAATGTTTTTTTTTATGGCCTACTTACTCAACACCTGTTAAAATGTCACATTCTGCATCACTTGATCTTTTATGCCCATATTTTAAAATATGAATGTAAAATAAAGTTATGGAAGAAATATTATCCTCTGAACAATCATGCTCCATTACTCCCTAACCCTTAAGCTGCTACTTAATAGCCGGCAATGCTGCTGTGCGCAAGAAATAATTTTTTTTTTCGTTTTATAAAAGTGTCGATTTGGTGTTCCCTGACCACTGGGGGGGGGGAGGTGGGTTGTTGTTGTTGCTGTTGTAAATGTAGGTGACGTGTTTTTGCCTCAATAGGGCGAGGAAGTGTGGCAAAATTGAGGCGTTGACAAAGTAATTGTCAGATTCGGTCAGCTCCGTCCAAGCTGTCAGGCGGAAGTTGCAACAAAGATATTATTACATAATTATTTCAATGTCTCTTTTTTTTTTGCAGTAATATTATTCAATAGTGTGTAGTGTAATATATTTATATAATAAAATGTGTGAACCATCACTATACTCAAAAGTATGCTGTACACATTATTGATTCAACTATTATGTTCATAAAACAATAAACAAATAGTTTTGCTGTTATTACACTATATACACACAGGTTATATATAAGTATCTGCATATTTTGATCACCATAACAAACCACTAAGTTGGTATGGTGAGTCAAAACAAAAATGAGTGGCCGCCACACACCAGCCAGCAAACACCACCACCTTCCCTCCCTCACCAACATCTCACTCGCAAACATTTCTCCTCCCATCATACTGTTTTTGCTTTTGTTCACTATATACAGACGTAATATATAAGTATGTCTCATTGAATATGACGGCATATTCTGTATTAACTATTTTCTGGTTTAGGGCTTATATCCCTCTATTATTCTTCTTGCATCAGGGTTTAGTTGAAAGAGGAGTTCTCCAAATGTCATGTTTCAAGGTGAAGAAAAAGTGAATAACTATAGAATATATTACACTTATTATACAATTGCACAACGTTTTGAACCTACATGCTTCATTCTCAAGTGATAAGAAATTACAGATCTCGTTAGTTTTATACTAGTATGGGGTCAGGTGAAAGACAAGTAGAATAAAGGAAAAGGCAAGGGGATAATAGGGGACGAAGCAATATGTTAGATATTAAGTAACTGCACATCCTCTCATGTGTTATATATATATATAAAATGCTGAACTGTAATGTCAATCCTGACCTCAAAAGCTTCATTGAAGGTTGTAACAGAACCCATGAGCACCACACTAGAAATAAATACAGTTTTGATATTCCAAGAGTACGACTTAATCAAACTAGAAATGCTCTGCAGATCAAGGGACCCAGAATGTGGAATGACCTTCCCAACCATGTTAAAGACTGTACCTCTCTCAACCAGTTTAAGATGAAAACGAAGCACTACTTAATAAATTCCCTGTAATCTACCTTACCCCTCTATTGTCAACCCAAGTCTGTTTTTTTTAAACAACGCTGTTTGTTCGACCTAATTGTATTTGTGCTGCTTTTTCAGCCATGTTCCCCCTTTTTTATCTTTATTTTTATTTGTTCTCAACAGATTTTATTCTTTATACTCAATTAGTATTAAGCTTTAGTCATTAATGTTTTTCATGCCCGAAACGCTTTGCGTAATAGTGGCTTTAGGCATTGTATGTACTAGCTCTATCTATAAATCGATCAATCTTTGTAAAATCTCTTGTATGTATGTACCTTACCTAAATAAACATTTATTTATTTATTTATTTATATATTTATAACTAGACTTTAGTCTGTAAATGAAGTGCCTATTGTGAGAAAATTGTTACTCTGGGCGAGAGAATGGGCTTGGAATTGAATGGTGCTGATGTGGAGAAGTTAGTGGCCGAACACAACGAAGAACTGACCACCGAAGAACTCCAAGCCGTTCAAAAGGAGCAGCAAGAAGAGGCAGCTGAGGATATTTCTCCAGTGGAGGAAGATGAGGCAGAAGAGGATGTCCCTTCCACAACCATTAGGAAGTGGTGTCAGATGTGGGAAGAAATGCAAACTTTTATTGAAACGACGTACCCAGAGAAAGCTGTAGTAGGCCATTGCATTAATCTTTTCAATGACAATGTGATGCCTCACCATATACAAATGTTGCAAAGAAGGGAAAAACAATCTTCCATGGATCATTTCGTTGTGAGAAAATCAAGCAGTGAGCCACAACCAGGACCTAGTGGTATGCAGATGTCCACGGTTGTCCCGGCAATATTTCTTATGCTCGCTGGGAGGACATTGAACATCTGCGGACCTCTGATGTTTATACAGTGTTCTTTGATTGTGCCTATGGCACCCCTGTTCTTTACTGGTTCTATTCTGAATTTTCTTCCATATCATTCACTCCAGTACAGTGCTATTTTACTGTGCAGATTTGGGACCTGGCCCTCCAGTATATATTATTTGACATCACTCTCGCCTTTCTCTGGTCTGTTCACCTTTCAATATCAATGCAGGCCGTCTCAATTTAATAAGGTCTCCTAAAAAGCAGTATAGGAAGGCATTACAGTGGCACCTCGATTAACGAGCGGCTCTATCTACGAGCATTTCAAGTAACGAGCGAGCCACTCGCAGCAAATTTGTCTCAATTGACGAGCTTCACCTCTATTAACAAGCAAAACTACATGGTGCTTCCTAGCGTCTCGCTGGTTCTCGCAAATTCTCGGACGCCTCCGATGCCAGTGTTGTTGTATTGCGCACGACAAGCATCCCTCTGCATTTATTTGCGCTTTTCTTTGTTTTTTTTGGTGGTTTTGTGACTACAATTTGTGACACTCGATGTCGCCAAAGAAGCTGCTTGCTAAAGATAGTGTTGTCAAGAGGAAGAAAGAGACAATTATTGTGGATTTGAAGAAAGAAATTACAGCAAAGCATGAGCATGGCTCATGCCACGCTCATGGCATGGGCTCCCCGGAACTATACCGGGCTAATGGTTATATATAAGACCATGGCAACAATCAATCGATGAGTCTGTGTGACTCATCTCACAAGGGAGTATGACAGGTCCTCATCAACAATTTGCACCATTAGTAAGGGGATGAGGAGGTAAGGGAGGATGCTGCCTCTTCCAGTGAGATCAGGGAAGTGTTGGGAATGTTTGAAAAGGCGACTACATTCTTTGAAATGCATCACCCTGATAAAGTAGTGACAACCCAGTGTGAGAACATGTTTAATGACAATTTGCTGTCTTGTTTTAGGGACATCCTAAAACAAAGACAAAAGCAATTGTCAATAGACTCGTTCTTTGCAAAAGTAAAGGCCAGCAATTGATAAGTGAACTACAACCCGGTCCTAGTGGGGTGAAATTCCCATGAAGAGAGAGGTCGCCTGACTCAGAGATGGATTCTCCTTCCACACCATAACCCCTCTCTTCCTTCTCACCTCCCCTATCGTCTCCCTCAAACCAGCAACGACTCTTCATAAGGTAAAGTAAACATGAAAACAGTACAACAAAACATTTATAATTACATGTGCAGTATTATATTTACATTATAAAATGTCATTCAAGTATGGATGTTTTTGGGAGTGAAATGGATTAAATTTACTTCCTTTATTTTAAATGGGAAAATTTGTTTCTTAAGACGAGTTTTCCACATAATGTGCTCGGTTCCAGAACGGATTAAACTCGTTAATTGAAGTGCCACTGTAATTTCTTTTTACAATATACGTGTTTATATACGTATGTGGGTGTGGATATTGGCTTGTGGGTGTGTGTGTATTGGCATGTGGGTGTGTGTATTGGCATGTGGGTGTGGGTAATGGCATGTCAGTGTGGGTTTAAGTATGTTCATCTTAGCATGTGAGTATTAGCAATGTGTGGTGTCAGCATGCATCCAAATTTTCAATGTTTTATTTAATTTAAACACCTAATTTTGATCAAATAAGGCTTGATTATTTCAGACAACTGCTATGAAATTACAAACACATATTTCCCAGCATCACCAGGGGTAATATGAGGAGGTGGAGATCATAACATTATAACCCGTGGCTAGCAAAGCTGTATTACTACAGCTCTTCCTGAAATCTGTTCACCTTTCAATATCAATGCAAGCCTTCACAATTTAATAAGGTCTTCTAAAAAGCAGTATAGGAAGGCATT